CTTTCATGCTTTGAAGAGTTGTTGGCTTATGCTCCATGTTTAGGCCCTTGTGCATGCATGCTTGTGTGTGTGTTTTCATGCTTTTGTTGCATCATTTTGGCCACTATTTTGGGCCTACTTGAGGGCTGTCCACTTTGGTTCAAGACCATCCTAGCATGTTGTTGCATGCTTGCCTTGTATGTTGCTGCATATTTGGCCTTGTTCCATGTTTGTTACATTGCATTTTGCATGTTTGACACATTGCACATTCGCATTCTTAGCTTGCATACTTAAGTTGCATAGCATTGCATGCATCCCATGCCTCTTGAATTGATTATGATAGAGGTTGGGGCCCATTATTTGTTTTGTGCATTTCATTCCATATTGAAATTGCACACTTTGGCTTCTTTGGGCCATCATGCATTGAAATGCGTGATTGGTGGTCCGAGGGTCGAGTACCATGCTCCCTTGAGTCTTAAACATGATAGGGAGGGTGGTGGTGCAAACATTGCTTTGAAAATGCATTGCCATGCCTTGTCTGTCCTCTGCTGCTGTCAAAACAGGTTTCTGCAGGAAGCTTTGGCCGGCCGACCATCCTTAGTGCCGACCGACCAAATATGGATGGCCGAGAGATCAATCAATGGTCGATGACCATTACCAATGGCCGGTGATGATTCCCCTTGGCCGGTGGTACTCTACAGTGTCCATGGAGCATACCTTGGGGGTTGTGAAATTTTCAGAGGAGCAGAGCAGGGTAAATTAGTGATCTAAGTCAAGAATTGGTTTAAAATGTTGAATTGAGAGTTAATCCTTGCATGCATGTGCATATTCTTGAATTTTGGAGTTGTTTCATGAGAATTTCCACATGCAAGTTCATATTTTTGTTATGGTCCATGAATTCATCATAATTTTGAGCTCAACATTGCATTTGATCTTGTTTTGGAAACACTAGAGTTCATGAGAACTCATGCATGTACGATCTTGCAATGTTCTTCATGCTTACACTTAATTTTTGTGTTCAATTGGCTTACCTTTGGGCTTGATTTTACAAATGATCTTCAAAAACATGTTATCCTATGAGTTTCCAAGAGTTTTGCAGAAAATTAGCCCAAGGGGATCGAAATTGAAGCTTTAAAAGTTGAATTTCATGCTTGAGGTTCAATCTGGAAATTTCAGATTTTGGACCCACGCTCGAGTATAGGACTTCACGCTCGAGCGTGCACTCTGAGTACATACACTTCCGCTCAAGCGTAGGAAGTCACACTCGAACATGAAATGCATATGCCCAGAAGTTCACATGTTTTGTAGTCCGCTCGAGCGAGAGAATTCACGCTCGAGCGAGGATCTGAGTCTCACGCTCCAGCGGAGGTCGAGCGTCCGTCGAACGTAAATTGCATGCATCCAGTACTTTTCATGAAGTTTGCAGTCCGCTCGAGCGTAGGAAGTCACGCTCGAGCGGAGCTCCTTTGTCTGCATGTCCGCTCGAGCGTAGAATTCACGCTCGGGCGTGGACCCCTGTTTCAGCAAATTTTGAAAAGTGTTTTAAAGTGCATTTTTGCATCCTCATTCCATCCTAAGCATTCCTAGGCCAAGTTTAAGGCATCTTAATGAGGATATTGATATAGAACCACACCAAGTCAAGTTAAGGGGCTAAGTTATTGATTCCCTAGTGTGTAACTTAGTGTGTGTTCATTCTGTAACTATATAGGGTTGGCATCCGGGGACGCTCGTTGACCTATTTGTAGCCCAGTGCTTTGTGAGTAACAATATTGTAAAGCTATGTTCAATTATTATTATTTTCTGAATGATTAATTGTACTGCTTTCTGAAATGATATTGTTTACTGAATGAATGTTTGTCCTAATTTATAAACTGTACTCGTGGCATCCATAACAACTGACTGTTACTGTTACTGTTACTGTTACTGTTACTGTTACAGAGATCTCTGTCGGTTCCTATGTTTGGAACCACTACTGTTTACTGTTATGATGGCCATCAACTGACTGTTCGGTCTGTTAAGACCTACTATACTGTTTTACTATGGGATGTACCACATATGACTGTTATGGTTTCTAAATGACTGATATGACTGTTTAATTACTGAAAGGACATTCATTATTAACCTCTTTACATAACTGTTATTCACTGGGCTTTAACTCACTGTTTATATATATATATGTAGGTGTCCAAGCACTAGACCGAAGCTAGAAGCGTTGGGTTAGCCCTTGTTTTATCAAGCCAACCTCTGTGCCTCACCTCGAGGTTCCAAGTCCGTTCAAGCTACGGCTGTTTTGGGGTGTTCGGATTCACTCTTCTGTTTCTGTTTTGTAATAGATGTTATAGACTCCTACTGTACAGTTATGGCATAGGGATTGAATCCCTAACTTGTATGCATGTATATCTGGTATGTAAATGTGTTTTGGTTACGAATGTGACTTGTTCATAAAAGTCTTTTTGCATTCAGACTGTCACAGCTCATTGGACACCTTTTATTTACTGTTTTGGCTTCCGCCAGCCCTTTTACTCTGTATTACTGTCATTACTGTTAAGCAGGCCTTCGGTAATCACAGATTACTGGCCGGTTACGGTGCTAAACCCATAGGGGCGAGTTTGGGTCGTGACATTGATATCTCCACCTAAGTCGATAGGGAGAGAATTGTTGGGGTATATCTCCTTATTGGAGTTTGAGCCCAATTGGTTTGTTAAAAGAATATTAATTTGGTTTGGTTTTGGTTTGGTTTGGGTATAATATATTTTATATATATTATATCTAATTTTTTTGAGACCTAATTCAGTTTAGTAACAATTAAGATTTTGATAAAAACCTAAGATTCAATAATATATATATATATATATATATATATATTGTTTTAGTCCTTCAGAAAAAGAAGATTAGCAGCAGTAGTGATTTACTCTTTGGTGGGATAGTGCTCGGGTATTATTCGGTGAGTTCATGTTGCGTGATATTGTTTTTACTCCATTATTAATTGGTGTGTTCCCAAGCTTGGTGCTGGGTGTATTTTCATTGGTGGCTAAGTTTGGTCAAACTTTGTGCTTGATTTGGTTATGCTTCAAAAAGCTGTGGTGAAGACTTTTGTTCATCTATTTGGTGAGGTTTTTCTTCTTGTTTATTTTTGATTATTTGAAATTCACCTAAGGGTGGTTTGTGAGACTATTTGTGTCTCGTTTGTAATCGTTTGGAAACTATTTGGTTGATAGTGGAATCGAATTTCGATCCCGTGGACGTACCTTACATTGAGGGAACCACGTAAAAATTATTGTGTTGCCTTTGATTTAATTTTTCGTATTAATTTTTATTCCCATTGATTAATTTAATTGTGGAGAATCACATATTTTCCCTAACAATATATTAATTAGATATTAATGGCCAAATTGTACATTACTAGCTTGTTTAGCATTTCCTAAATAAATGTACTTATTTGGATCGCATTACCTCCTTATTTTTCTACACATTTTTTCATAAAAAATTAAAAAATATACTTATTTAAATTATCTCGAACAATCCATAAATATGATAAAATGAAATTGTCATTGTAGCATTACTCTTTGGCAATTGGTAATTATATTTGCACTTGTCCAAAACGTGAAAATGTCTACTTTTGGTTTGGGATGTCCTAAAAAAGTGTACTTTTTGTCTTTTTACGAAAAGATGTACAGAAAAGTAGAGAGGTGATGTGATAGAAAAAAGATAAAAAGATGGATTATATAGATTATGCCAAAGCTAGCCATAGGATTATCATTTTCTGACAATTTAATTGTCAATATTGTATTAGAAATACTGTATTAGAGATATTTTATATTCTTATTTCATAACCATTAGACATGCAATGGAAATTTTCTATTACACATATGGAATGGAAAACATCAAAGTCCCTCTTCGTTTATCAGATTTATTTATTATCTAATGTAATACACATATATGTTGGGGTATACACACACACACACACACATATATATATATATATATATATATTGTTTTAGTCCTTCGGAAAAAGAAGATTAGCAGCAGTAGTGATTTACTCTTTGGTGGGATAGTGCTCGGGTATTATTCGGTGAGTTCATGCTGCGTGATATTGTTTTTACTCCATTATTAATTGGTGTGTTCCCAAGCTTGGTGCTGGGTGTATTTTCATTGGTGGCTAAGTTTGGTCAAACTTTGTGCTTGATTTGGTTATGCTTCAAAAAGCTGTGGTGAAGACTTTTGTTCATCTATTTGGTGAGGTTTTTCTTCTTGTTTATTTTTGATTATTTGAAATTCACCTAAGGGTGGTTTGTGAGACTATTTGTGTCTCGTTTGTAATCGTTTGGAAACTATTTGGTTGATAGTGGAATCGGATTTCGATCCCGTGGACGTACCTTACATTGAGGGAACCACGTAAAAATTATTGTGCTGCCTTTGATTTAATTTTTTCGTATTAGTTTTTATTCCCATTGATTGATTTAATTATGAGGAATCACATATTTTCTCTAACAATCTATTAATTAGATATTAATGGCCAAATTGTACATTAATAGCTTGTTTGGCATTTCCTAAATAAATGTACTTATTTGGATCACATTACCTCCTTATTTTTCTACACATTTTTTCATAAAAAATTAAAAAATATACTTATTTAAATTATCTCGAACAATCCATAAATATGATAAAATGAAATTGTCATTGTAGCATTACTCTTTGGCAATTGGTAATTATATTTGCACTTGTCCAAAACGTGAAAATGTCTACTTTTGGTTTGGGGTGTCCTAAAAAAGTGCACTTTTTGTCTTTTTACGAAAAGATGTGCAGAAAAGTAGAGAGGTGATGTGATAGAAAAAAGATAAAAAGATAAAAAGATGGATTATATAGGTTATGCCAAACCTAGAGGATTATCATTTTCTGACAATTTAATTGTCAATACTGTATTAGAGATATATATTTATAGGGGATCCATTATACCAATATTTTATTGACAAATAAGATGATAAACAAAATACAAATAGAACTTTAGTAAATGCAGTATTATTAATTAAAATTTTAATTTTCTTAATATTCTTTGGCTTTTATCAAATGCCCAAATACAAAGTCATTTACAGATCCCTTAAATTAAAGAGAAGGAGGGGGAAAAAAATGTGTAAAAGGAGCCAGCTTCAAGCTGCATCATATTATCATAATATAATAAAAGTATACAGATTTCTCACTAGATTTTATTATAATGATAGTAAGAGTTCTAATTTAACAACTTTTGCATATCAAAATAAATAAATAAATAAAGATAGTGAGATTTACGTTATTAAGATAAAATGAAAATAAAGTTTAAGAAAAAATCTATTTTCCATTAACCTCTTAAGAGAATTTCAAGGTGCGTGTCATCATGGTCATAAACTCATCCATGTCAACCAGCCCGTCTCCATCCCTATCCACCCCTTTCACCATTTTCCGGCAAGTCTCAAGGCTGCACCGCTCCCCAAGCCGCCTTAGAACCTCCAACAACTCTGCTGCACTTATCTTCCCATCACCATCCAAATCAAACACGCCAAAAGCACTCTGAATCTCGTTCATATTCACTCCTCCTCCCATTTTATGTACCTCCATGAACTCTTTGAAGTCTATGAACCCATCTCCATCTGAATCGAGGACCTGAAACGCGGGAACTTCTATTTACACCCATAATATGCCTTGTAATACTTGTACATTACGAAGAAAGTGTTGCACAGATAGGCGTAATCAGATATTTGCATAGTTTGGAATGTTCTAAATAAGTGTATTTTTTTACTTTTTATAAATAAAAAAAATGTAAAAAAGTAAAGAAAGTGGATAACAAAATAGAAAAGAGATGTTGATTCATGTGACGCAAATGAATATATGTATATAAAAAAAATACACTTTTTTAACGCATGCTAAACACCTACTTATTGGCTGTAAATAAAAAATAGTACCTGAAAGGCCTTGGCCACCTCATTTTCTGCATTTCCAATTTTGCCCATGGCTCGTAGTGCTAGCTTGTACTCTTCCCGGGAGATTTTTCCGTCCTTGTTGGAGTCAAATTTGTCAAAAACTTGTTTCATTTCGGCCGTGTTTGGCTGGAAAATTCCGGTGGAGGGTAAATTGGTCTTTTGCTGTTGGGCTTTGGGGAGGCTCAGTTGGGGTTGTTTTAGAGAGGGTTTTCTTGAACTTCCATGTTTGAAACTGGGAAAACTCATTTTCGACATTGTTGGTGCTTAGTTTGGGTGATGCTTGTAAGCAATAGGTTTGCAAAGAGTTGATGATGATGATGATCCAAACTGAAATACCCAACTTCTTCTATATATAAGAGTTGAAAAATATTCGGTGGCCACTAAATCAATAAATATTCACCGTAACGATAATATTATTTTATGTTATGTTAATAAAAAATCGTAAAGAGAATTTAATGAACAATTTTATTTTTTACTAATTCAATTATATACTCTTTATGATCGGACTCTAACACATGATATCATTATTATATTCAATATTTATTGTCATGAGACACATGTCTCAAATCAAAATGAATAATGTTAAGAATATCAAATTTTCTATCAAATAAATAACTAAATGTCTCATATGAGAGTGGAGTCGACACTTTTATGAATCACACACTCGTGTAAGAGCTTTGATCATTCATTTAATAGAAAATTTAGAGTCTATAACATTTTTCAACCAAAATGCCTCATTGAAAATACTAATATAAAATGATTAGCCTAACTATACACACAAACTAAGATGGGAAGAAGTTTTTTTTTTTTTTTTTGGCTCAAAAGATAGGAAGAAGTTGGATCTATGTCAAACACGACACTATATATGTGGACACTACTTAAAAAGTGTTTGAATTTAATATTTTGAGTCCATTTTATTTTCATCTTTTAAATTATCACCTATTATTCTATTTCATCCTCAAACTATTGATTTCATCTATTTAATTTCTAAAGTTTTTATTTTTTTCCATGTGATTCAATTTCGTTAAATCATAAATTTGATGGATAAGCATAAAATTTAAACAATTTAAATCATACAAACGAATAATATACAAAAAATTTCTACAAAATAAACGGTTCAAATTATCGAAACAAAATCCATGATAAACAAAAACCTCTAAAAAAAAAAAAAAAAAAAAAAAAAAAAAAAAAAAAAAAAACCTTATTAAAATTACTATATCAACACGTCTATGTCATATCTCATCTTCATAGCTATACCACATGATACAACAATCATATTTACTATAGGCCATGGCTTTGGCAATACAACAAAAATAATGTTATATCTATCAATTAATGTACTAGCTAATATATTAACAAATGATATAACATAATTTATGAAATTTTGAGTATTTATAATTTGTATAATAGGTGAGATCAGTAATAATAATATAACACTAATTGGTACACTAATATGTATATTAATTAGTATATGTAGCACTACCGATACAACAATTGACATTTTGAATAACTTTTTTCTAAAAACATCATATTCCACCTAGTTAATTTACCCTTCAAGAAAATGGTTGGACGGACTCCAAGATATTCTCATTCTAAGTAAGGTGGATGTTATAATAATGACAATTAGTATTCTTATTCTTGAGGCACTTCCTTGTACTACTTTGAGGAAGTTCCATTCTATCGTCGGTTTTTTTTTTTTTTTTTTTTTTTTTATATCACCCTTGGCATTCTAAGTTGATGAACACAAGTACAAAAAATGAGAGAAAGAGAGGGAATGTATGAGCAAGCATCTTTCATTTCCAAGATTTTTCTTCCTTCATTTTCAATGCATTTCAATCCTAGGTTATAATGTAATTTTTAAAATACAAAAATCTCAAAATATAATTTTACAGTTAAAAATATAAGGTAAATTACACTAATTACAAGCTCCACAATTTTGATTACATTAGGTTGTATTAAGATTTAAATCATATAACACTTAACTTCCTTTTCATCAATAATTAATTAATTATATGAATAAAAATATTATTATCATCTTTTTTACATTAGAACATATATATTTTTTCTTATTTATACATGTGTATTCAAACTATTTATATTAGTTTGATCACTTTAATCTTATTAAAGAGAGATCAATATAATTATAACAAAATTATGAAATTTGTTATAACTTTTTCAAATTTCAGAAAAGATCAATGTAATTTATCCAAATAGAAAAAACATAGAATACTATGTTGGAAAATATGTTTACCATTTGTTTGCTAAAAAGAATAGGTGAGAAGTCAAGGAGAATGGCTTCCCTCCATACTATTTATTATCTTTCATATCCTTTCATACTTAATTTTATAGGCCTTATTTTAGATCCACAACAATGATCTAATCCGTGCATTTCATAAAACTTGTACTGAAGACCGTCTATGCAAAAAAATATTAAATTTATTGAATATTGACAAATAAATGAATAAATTGTATTTGTTTTATAGAATGAACAATTTAAGTTTATATTATTCACCAAAAAAAAAAAAAAGTTTATATTCATAGTGGCCGTTCATTTTTATTTTTTTTAAACAAAATCTAATTTTTTATGTATCTAGTGATATTCGATGAAATAATTTTTTTACATAACTCATCTTTACTACTAAACCAACAAAATAAACAGCTTAGATCATTATTGTGGCCCTGAGATGGAACCCACAAAATAAAGTAAGGAGTTGTATAGAGAATAGTAGTATGAAAAAGAGTCATTCTCTAAGTCAAGGTAGCTCTTGAGAAACTTAAATGAGTCACGGGCTCATAACACGGAAGATCTGTAACTGTTTTCTTAAGATAGACTTGAGTCATAACTTACCAATAATCAGTAAATACTTATTTAGAAAGTGGTTAAATTAGTTAAAAAAATCATTACAAAAAGCAAATGTATTCTTTTTGATTATATATATATATATATATATATTGGTAAAAGTCATTAAAATTTTAATTGTCAAACCAACTCTAAAAATATAGTGTGAACCAAAAAAACCAAAAGAGTATGTTCACCCATTAATGGATTCTAGGGTGGCAAAGTTGCACTTCCACTTCTTGATTCGGCTTTTGCCTTTTTCCACACATTCTTTACGCGTATTATCCCAGTTCAAAATCCATAGAGTGAAAGATAAAAGATGCTATTCGTTAAAAAATTTTAAAATTGTGTTTAGTTAAAAAATTTAAGCGAATTTGTAGAAGGTAAAAAAAGAAAAAGAAAAAAAAAAGTAAATAAAGTACAAACTTAAAATTATTTTTAAAACTCATAAATTTAAAAATTATTTTTAAAATTCATACCACAAATTTTTATTCAAAACTTTAAACCAAACACAACTTAATAGGTCAGAAGGAATAACTGAAAAGAGAATGAAAGCATTAAGGAATGAAATCCGAATAGGATTTGTCAACTCTTATATATAAACAAAAGCGCTTATAATTCAATTTAAAATATATAAATCAAATTCATTTTAAGTACCCTAAATTTAAATTAAATTTAAGTTTGAATACTTTTCTTGATATTCTGATACATTGCATTTCAGTATATAATTTGTTCATGGTGGTTTTCCTTAATCCAAACCAGATAGGAAAACCAGAGATCACATATTCACTCTGTTTGGTTTTATTTTTCCAAATTATTTTCAAGTTTTTTTCGATTTTTCATAAAACTTGTCCAACAATATTCTTTATTCTTTTTAAACTATGATGTTTATTCCTTTTTAACTTAAAATATAGAAATTTAATTTCATTATAATTGTCAAATTATTATAAATAATAAAGTTTTAAAGAAAAAATTTTAATTTTAAAAAAATAAAAACATATTTCAAAAATAAAACTACTGTTAAAATAATGAGAACATGCATAATCATTTATTGAACTGGGCCTAAATTTGACTTGCTAAGATAACTAAAAAAACAATTTGCAATCCAGGTTATGAGTCGAAATCCCCAAACCCAGCTGGAAAATTAACAAGCCCAAAATATTAACCTGGACAACTCTACATGCCAAAATATCCCACTCAAATTCACAAAAAATAAGTTTCATGGACGAGCCGCGGGCTGATACCCACCCCTAGTAATCAGGGTTGCAACCAATTTCACTCCTTTAGGCCTATTGACACCGACGTGACATGAAACATGTGAAGCAAGTTCCAATGTGCCTACAGTATAATTATTCATAGCTGCTAAGTTCCGAGGTTTTAATGTCTGTTTTAGTGTGCAAAAAGGTCGCATGAGTAGTTTTACTGTTTGAAATTTGGCTTCGGTGAAATTCATTCCAGCTGGAATGAAGCACATTCACCGTCATGACTCATACTTGTCCCCACTAGAAACCTATATACTATTACCAAATGTGAGGTTCCCGAAAAATTGAAAACCTAAACCTCATACAGAACAAAACCTAACTCTGATTTTGGCTAAAAAGACGGAGAAAGAGGAAAAGAACTATTGGAACCTTGCATCAAGTAGTTTGAGCAAGATCAAGTCATTTTTCTTACCAAAGCGTTTAAGAGTCCTTACAAATGAAATCTGTATAAATGAAATGTAAAAGATTGCACAATCTATAAACCCAGAGAGAGTCGATACCTCATCCACTGGATATGAGTAAAATTGACAAAGTCTTCTCATGTATATCTTCTTAAGTTCCGAGAGATCAAGATTTTCACAACATTTCAAAGATCTGCATCACAACCACATATCAAAAAAAATGTTCAATTTGATGGATATTAGTAATCGCTATCCTGCATAATGCCTTCAGCCTTTTATTTCTTGAATGAAATACATGTCATCTCACAGGCTCATATTAGGTTGTTTGATCTGATTACGTTTTTTATAATCCAAAATTAAACAATTAGTGTACAGACAGACTTATTTCCCATTCTACATTAAAATGTGGCTAGAGTGCAAATAATGATTTTTACTTGAGTGCACACACTTGAGAAAATTTTGCAGTTCCAATAGTGTTTTGCATTAAATAAAAAACAAGATTTGCAATCATTCCAACCACCCTTTAACATAGAATGGAAAATAAGTTTATTTGTACACTAATTATTTAATTTTGAATTTAAAAATAAGAGAGACTTATTTATAAGTCCTATTTTGGACACTTATGCTATGTTAAGTCTTGTGTAATTTTTTCTTATTGAGTTTCAAGTCCTATTTAGACAGGAATATATTCCACAAGATCCTATGAGTTGTAAATAAATGGTATTAATATACTATTATACACTATAATGGCAAAACTATATATAGGAAATTGAATTTAAAAAATCAAAAACCTAGTAAGTTTGCAAAACGTAACGTGACACGTTACGTTACGTATATGTAGGTGTGACGTTACGTTTATGTAGGTGTCACGTTACGTTTCGCAAACTTAATCTATGGTAACATTCAATTTCCTGAATGTTACCATAGATTATATCTATATGAATGTGAATTTCAAAATACACGAACAAGTAACATTTTCACATTCAATTTAAAAAATCAAAAACCTAGTAAGTTTGCGAAACATAACGTGACACGTTACGTTACGTTTATGTAGATGTCACGTTACGTCTCGCAAACTTAATCTATGGTAACATTCAATTTCCTATATATGATTTTTCCATTGTTCATGATATTAACAACTAATATTGAGGGTAAATGTGTCAACAAACTTCACACAGGACTTATGAGAACATAAGTTTTTTAGTAAGACCATATGTAGCATAAGTCTCCCTAATAGGACTTATAAATAATTTTCCCTAAAAATAAAAATAAAAGAAAAGAAAAAAAGAACTAGGTCAAAGACCCCTCATACTGTGCAAGGATGCAACAACATGCAAACTTACATTTATGGGCATCTCGGCTATGACAAGGCTGCTGCTTTCTTCAATGCTTTTTAAAGTCACCACCTCTCCCCCAACAACTGTGTTAATAACAATCCCATCTGTGTATATTCATCCAGAATTGTGTGAAAAAAAACATAATTGTGTTAAAATGTATGACCAGGAAGTGTTATTGCATTGAAGAAAAAACCTGCCGCCAAACAAGTTGCCATGCGCCTTGAATATGTTTCCTGCAAGCAAACACCAACATTAACGAGAATCTAGGGGAAAAATGGCAACAAGAAGAAAAGAAAGATTCATGCTCATGAACAAAACTTGAGTTCAAGCATCACATAAGAGGAAGATTTAAGATGACTTTTAGCATTAATAAGCAGAACTGAATCCTAGCACAGTATTTTATGCTAAGCAGGCAATGGTGGCATACACCAATATGAAACAGTAAGATGTCTCCATATTGGCTCAAAGGAAAATTACTCCTGAAGATGAGAAATATAGATTCGGGCCATCAGATTCTTTTTCCCTCATTTACCTCTTCCAAGTTGTAAATCAGATGAAACTATAATGGAGTCAGAGTATCCACCAGGTAAATTCTTCTTAGCAAAGCCTACTAACAATAGGAAATAATCTTTAGTTTTTGAAAAACGTTCACAATGTACTGAGTAGTAACAAAAAATTATACGAATTTATTTAATTTAATTGAGCATATATCCTTTGAATTTACTTAATTTGACTAAGCATATAGCCTTTGACTGAGTAAAATGACGAAAAAGATTGATGTTTCCGACCCCACTTGAGTGGGACACAAGGCTTAGTTTGGTTTGGTTTGCTCAAAATGTAATGAGTCATTGAACAAAAATGGCTATAAATAGCAGAACAAGAGAACTTCAGAGATGCATTTTAGAATCAGCTTTTCTTCTACTGACAAATTCAACTGAACTATCATGGTATGCAAGTTTTGAAGTATCATGTTGTACAGTGAAAGAGCATCTCAGTCTTTTCTGTTTCACCCTTCTGTTTCACTAAAACATTGCAACTCAACAAAACCGACTGACAACCATTATGGCTAAATGAGCAAGTTACTATTTTAGTTTCCAATGGGTCACAAGTTGCATTAATTCATTAATTGTATCCATCATGTTTTCCCCAAACGTTGACTTTGGCCTGGGGCTCCTCAACTTTAACCAAATGTGTCCATAGTAGCCAAATCATTATTACTACAATCAAATAATCTAAAAGTACATTTACGGTATATCAATAGATAAACCAAGATTTGCTTAGAAATACCACACATCGTGGACAACTCAGACAAACAAACTGGTTTACCAAATGCAAAGAAACATATGTTACCAACTATTAAATAGCCTATGATACAAGTAAATAGTATATGCTAATACAATTCAGGTGAACCAAGTCATCCTCAGGTATCATAGCTCCAGTCATTGTCCAACCAATGTTCAAGCCAATTCTGGTTGCTTTTTCTTTTTCTTTTTTGTTTTTGATTGTTATAATCCCGGTTGCTTTAGCAACCTTGTCACCATCTCTTTTCAGTTGTCTTGTCTGTATTTAAAATTTTTATTACATTACACATAAATATTCCAAAATACTTAAATGCTTGTAAGTATTTAATGATCCAATTGTTAGATTAAATTGGGAATACAAAGTGGTCGTCATCAACTTACAACATAATGGCACAACGATCTTATGTGACTAAAATGTTTGTCAAATACACCAATTATCTCACCAGACACTGCACAAACAAATTCAAATCATACAAATGAATGAATGGTATTGAGGCGCACATAAACCCTGAAGGAAGAAACTAAACCTACCTTCTTTGTTGGTAATTCATAATTTATCAAAACACGAGCAGCAATAGGTGACTCCCCTGAAGCAAGATGTGGAAGGCAAGCATCTGTCACAACTATCAAGTGAGACTTCTGTTCTTCTTTCCCGAATTCACTGTCATCTCCAGGCTGACAAGTGGCAATTTGATTCCAGCTCATTGTCGCTTGCCGGAATTTCTCTAAAATCAATGCACGTTCTGCTTCGGCCAGATCGCTGTACTGGGAGAAGAGCAAAAGGTTTGCATACTGAATTAGCTTTGGTTTATTCATAGAAAATGAAAACACGAGCCTGAAAACCTATATTTTTACATCCATTTTTAATAAATAACAAAATACAGTAGGGCAGGTATCTACATTTTTACATCAATTAAGCTAAAAGAAAGGTGGTTAGTTTTTCTCTAGAAGAAACATCACAGAATAATAATTTAGATTGAATATATCATTTGCCAACACACACCAACCCTGTGGATGTAATTAAGAAACCCAAAATCCAAAGCCCTATATTGCTCTCGTGCAATCTTCATGATGTGTTTAGTTCTTCCACGTACATGATGGTATTGTTGAATTCTGTTTTCCTTCCGTAGACCATAGTTTCTTAAACCTGACCATAATTACTTAAATACAAACTTTTTGAGAGGTGCCAAGGAGCTTCTCCCCAACACTACCTTATGGGGAAACCTCCAGCAATGGGGTCATTATCTTAGTAGAGGCTTCCCTTTGGGAGTATATTTTGGCAGCACCTCTGTGCTTGATGTATGCCCAGATTAAGAGTAATGCTAGGGCACCCCCAGTACTGCTTAGTGCTTGCTAGCAATGTTTGTCAAAATCCCAACCTTATCATAGGATCCTGTTAAAATACATGTAATATTGATTGATGTATGCTTACAAGATTGTTGTTTGTGCTAGCAATGTTTGTCAAAATCCCAACCTTATCATAGGATCCTACAATCCATCTGGGCAAAATCATTTCAAATAGTTTAGAAAATCACTGGAAGTTAGGATCTTATATGGATTTGGGCAAGTTTGTGTTCGATAATGGAAACCCAATCGCACCCCATCAAATTTTTAAGTCTTGTTCAATGGTAAAAGGTTATTATAGATTCAAGTCTTGGGGCAACCACTTTGTGCATTATGCCAAATGTTAAGCGTGTACCCAATCTTTCCCCTCCCAAACACACATTAATGTATACTATTTGGGCATTGTTTTTGTTTTTGTTTTTGTTGTTTTCATATTTGTCCCAAACCAAATTAAAATAACACGTGTTAAGCCAAATAGGCTAAGGAAATCAAATTTAAGGCAATAGATATTCAAACATTCCTCCGACTCAAGCATCTTCATCTCCCTCTCCAGTCCATTTTCCAGGTATGATCTGTGGAGAGTTGTTGATGAGGTGGCTAGAATAGACCTTCTGGGAAGATGATAGGCGCTCATCATATTCTTCTTCTCTTTTATTTTAGGGTGATCCAAATGCCAATTTTTTCTCCTTATCTTTTTGCATTAATTATGGATAAACTTACTAAGAACATTCAAGAGGATATCTCCTTGTTTGTTGTTTTCACACCATATAGTTTTAATTGACAAAACAAGAGGATGAGGGAACTCTAAACTATTATTGTGAAGAAACATTTTGGAAAACATATTGCTATCTCTCATATAGTTTTAGGAATTTTTCTCATTTGATTTTTTCATTATACCACAAATATTAAATTTATAGACTATTGAATAGCCAATTTTTCTTTTTCTAGTAAAATGTCATGATCCTTAATCAATCCTACAATCTAAATCTTGTAGAAACCACCAACCCACCCAACCCCTCAATCAAACTTAGGATCCTGATTTTAAAAAGTAGTGACCATGAGATGCACTCAGAGAGACAGAGAGAGAGAGAGAGAGAGTGATTCTTCTAAATATTTATTCAATTTGTTTTCATCCTGTGAAGCTAAATTCATCTTACACCAATAGGACTATATATAGACTTCTATAAAATCCTCAAAATACATAGATTTCCTCTACAATTAAGTCTACCCAACATAGTAACTTAATACCACCAAAATTAAAGCATTTAAGTCTCTAACAAGACTACTTACTTAATATTGGTTATCAATTATCATCTTCTCATGGGTTTTACATCAATTTAAGCCTTTAATAGCATTAATCCCCTTTTGTTTGATAAAATTGACCTTATTTTCCCCCCATATTCAATATTTAGAAGATTTTTGCATCAACTTTGTTCCTTTGAAGGATCTTTTGCTCTAACACCAAACTAATGTAACCTGACTTCTTGAGAATTTCTTGAAACATGCAATGGGTACAATAATAAGCTGATTTGTTTCGTGTGATTGAGATGAAAGAGATAAAATAGATGAAGGAAAAATAAGAAAGGACAAAGGAGAAGAAAGAGATAAAAGTAAAACAATATCAAAATCAAATGCTCCCAACAAGACTTATTACTTCTTGTAGTAATCAATTATCTTCTCTTGGGTCCTATATCAACTCGATTGCACTCATTTAATTTTCTAGAGGGCTCACAACCAAGTTGTATCTTGCAAGTTCAGATACACTAACTTTATTGGTTTCAATCATTACTGAAGCTTGGAGAGCCACTAATAGACCATAAACCGCATCCCTTGAGCCTCCTCATTTCCATGTCGCACCTAACTCTTCGTCTCCTCCATAGCTTCAAGAGTCTAGTAAACATACAAATAGCTCAAGGAAACCACTCCAAAAAAGAAACCACTATATGGTGATTGTTATATGACCTAGTTTGTGCTTACGAAGTTCAATACCATATATATATACTATGTATAATGTATATATAAGAGTGTCATACTACATGCCCTAGATAAACACATGACATGAAAGAATTGAACATCGCATAATAACTGCATCCATAGGATGGGATATAAATACGACGCCAAGTTATTTCGACATTTACCAACATTTTGGGATGAAAATTTGTCTCAACACCAAGAAATAGAATATCAATGGGCCATTCAAATGCATATAGCAAATAATCAACGTATGAACAAACATATACAAAACACCAATTAACATATTGAGTGACATGCAATTGTCAGCCAGGTTGAATGAATGACAGTGACTTCAAGTTCTGCATACAAAATATGTTTATCATTTGATTTTTAATAAAACATAAGATAAAAGAGCAATATTTACCCCTTATGTAGATCCCTCTCAATCAAGAATGCAAGTAGTATACTAAGTACAAACCTAACATTCATCCTTTTTTATAATAACCTCGTTAAGTTCTTATGTTTAAAATATATATTCAATGGATTTCTTATTAACTGCACTTTGTAATGCAGAAGAGCCTACTAGTAATCAAAATTAAAAATCCTTATATCACAAAAATATTTAAAATGAAAAGCCACTTAAAATGGTCTTTATACCATTTCAAACAATCAAATACCATTTTCATGTACAAAACAAGCATAGAAGAACATAATGAATGAGAAATCAAGAAGTACCAAAGAGTCTATAGAAATGTAGGATAGGTTTGAGACAGCGGAGCAGACAGCATCAAGCTCGTCACGCGTGCTGCAGCAAACCACCATTGGCAGGCACGGGCGGCGACCCGCCATCCCCAGCAGATCAACCAACATCTCCTGCCAATTTCAAGGACTTTAAAAACCAAATAAAATAATACAAAAATCACAATTTGTTAACAATTCGAAGTGGAATTGAGAGTAGATAGTGACCATATTGAACTAGAGTCTGATTTCAACAACTTTAAAAAAAAAAAAAAATTGAAAATTGAAAAGTAGCTATACACAAGGTATAATTTGTTAACAATTGGAAGTGAAATTGAGAGTAGAGAGAGAGAGAGAGAGAGAGAGAGACCATCTTGAATTGGAGTCTGTCAACTGCAAGGTAAAAGTGCCGTAATTGACTGCAACATATATACATGAAAAAATTAAAAATTTACACTTGATCTATACAAATACACGACACAAGTGCAACAATATATAGATAGCGAGAGAGAGAGAGAAAGAGAGAGTGAAGACCTGTAATGGGAAGGCGACTGAGATGTAGGCGAAGGGGCTTCGAGTACGTCCGTCGCCATATGAGAAGCTCTCTCCCTCTCCGCAGTCGCTGCGAAGTGCAAACTTTCTCGGACTTTTTTTTTTCGTTCTTTCTTTCTTTCTTTCTTTCTCGGCAAAATTACTGGCCTCCTCAAATTGTTTCATTTTTTAGTCCTTAAATTATTGATTGATTTTAATAATTAACATTGTGAATTATTCCTCAGTATATATTATAATTTGACCTTATAATAAATCAAAACTTGTAATTTTAAACTTTTTCATTTTATTATGAATTCAATTGAGGAATATTTTTACAATACACATGTTAATTTTTCACTCGTTTTTTTCTTTTCATGTTAATAATAATTGATAAAATATCATTTTTATCTCTTAAATGATTACATAATAATTTATTTGTGTAATGACTAGAAATGGAAAAAGAAGAAATATAGAAGGAAAATAGTTTATTGGTCCTCTTATTCCAACCCAACGACTAGTTACAAAATAATACAATGAATGAATTGGACAATGTATTCCCTTCTATATTTATACACATAACCAACTCCTAACCTAATAGATTCAGTAATTGTAACCTAACAGATTCAACAATTGAAATTACAAGAATAGCCTCGTAAATATAGGTAGGATTACAAGAATAGCCTTCCCAATTAACTTGTTCATAACATTCCCTCCTCCTTCAAAAAGCCTTGTCTCAAGACTGAAAATCTGGAAATTGTGAGTGGAAGTCTTCATAGTCCATCCAGGTAGCATCTTCAGGAAATGTTCTTGACCACTGAATCAGCCATTGCACTACTACCTTGTTGTTTCGTTTGACCATCACCTTTCTAACACAACCACATGCTCCACCATTTGCAGCATTCCTGCATTACTGACAGAAGGGAGAGTTGAAATAGGAATGACTTGTTGTTTCAACTTTTTCTTTAACAATGAAACATGAAAAACAAAATGTAATTTGGCTAAGTTAGGCAAATCTAGCTTGTAGGCTACCATTCTCACCCTTGCAATGACTTGGAAAGGTCCATAAAAACGTAGAGATAGCTTCATATTTCTCTGCAAAGCCAAGGAAGATTGTTTGTAGGGCTGCAATCTCAAATACACCCAATTACCAACTGCAAATTCTCTTTCACTCCTTAGTTTGTCTGCATAATGTTTCATCATGTTTTGTGCTTGCTGCAAGTTCTCTTTAAGCATTCTCATAATGGAAGTCCTTTCCTTTACCTAATTTTCCACTGCTGCTACTTGTGACCCTTCAATGTTCATGAAGTCATGATCTGGTGGTGGCTGTCCATAAACTGCATAGAAAGGAGTTGTTTTGATTGAGGTGTGATAAGAAGAGTTATACCACCATTCAGCCAAGGACAGCCAAGTTGACCACTTTCTAGGGCAATCACCACACATGCACCGCAAATAATTTTCCAAACACTTGTTCACTATTTCAGTTTGCCCTTCACTATTTCAGTTTGCCCATCTGACTGTGGATGATATGTTGTACTAAGGCATTGCTCAATTCCCAAAACTCTAAGTAATTCTTGCCAAAACAGACTTGTAAACACAACATCTCTATCGAAAATTATGGTGTTTGGAAGGCCATAAAGTTTGTAGATGTTGTCTATGAATAATTGTGCCACATCCTTGGCAGTATAAGGGTGAGATATAGACATAAAATGGGCATATTTGGTTAACCTATCCACCACCACAGAGATAGTGGTCTGTCCATGTGATTGAGGAAGACCCTCAATGAAATCCGTAGAGATATCATTCCATACCTTCTCAGTAATTGGCAAGGGTTGGAGTAACCCAGGTAGGTGAACATTTTCTCCTTTGAACCTTTGACAAACTGAGCATTCGGAGATGAAAAGCTGAACATCCTTCTTCAATCCCTTCTAATAAAAGGTCATTTTGATCCGTCTAGTGGTTTTTGTCTATACTTGTGTAACGAGTTGAATCAAATTGAATTTTGCCCTTATTATTATTGTTGTGGTGTCGTGAACCATTCTATTTAAATTGGTGAAAATAAATTGAATTACTTATTGATTTCGACTTCGTAAGGCTCGCTTGGCAAAATTATTTTTTTTAGTTTTAGTTATAGGCCTAGTTTGGGAAGACTAAATAAGTGCACTTTTTGACTTTTTATGAAATATGGGTTGGATTTGGGTTGGATTTGAAGTGATGTGTTAGAGAAGTGATGTGACTTAAATAAGATGATGTGACTTAAATAGGATAGTGACTTTTTGACTTTTTGTCTTTTTTTAATCATGCCAAACTTGACCATAGTGATTCTTGGGTCCTGAGTAATAAATGAAATATAAATTCAATTTTTGGGTTTTATTTGATTAGCCCATACTTAATCATTTTTGTTCATATTTAATTTTATGAATGGTGAGAACCACCTTAAGTCTTTTAAAATTTATTTATATAATCTGAGTTGGAGATTTATTTTAAATTATTAAACTTTCTTCATTTTGGATCCAATTGATTGAATCATGACCCGTTAGTAATCGTGTAATATTGTTGTTGTTTTATTATTATTATTTGATTACTATAAAAGGGTTATGAATATTTATGGTGTGTACCATTAAACGAAATATATTTTGTAGTGAGAAAATATTATATCTTTTTATCATTAATAATATTGAAAAATACTTTTAATTGATATATATAGATATATATGTATAGATAGCATTCTTGATGGAAGCATTCCTACCAAAACATTTTTATGGAGAAAAGAAGTCAAAATGTATATGTGCAAAATGATGAAGCTTGCTAGAAAGAAATGGTAAAGGAAATGAGTGGACGACAATTGTGGCTGCAAGGGAGCTCTAGCGGAGAGAGCTAGAGAGCAGATATTCTAGTTCACATTTCTTTCTTTCTTTCAATCTGTGTATTTAGCTACAATAAAGTTTTAGACCCTAGTTCCATAGATCAAATTGTAGAGGGTTTCAAGGGCTCCAATTTAATCTGAACGAATTGAATTTTTGTCACCGGGAATTTTTATTTTCTTGGAAGCTCTTGGATCGAGGTAGGAATTTTTCCTACACTTCTTTATGTACTTTTACTTGATTAAATGGAGAAAGTGTAAACTTGGGATATGTTTGTAAGGTTATGAAAAAGCTATGTTTTAAATTTGAACAAAAACGGACTTCGATTCAATTCGTTTTAAAATTTTTACCGTTTTGAAACCAAAAAAGCATTTTTAAAGAAAATAAAGGAATTACATTTAACTTTTGGGGTTTTTGATCAAAATAGGATGCCATAATTGAATAATGCTTGGAGAATAAGTTTGGAAAGAAAATAATGTTTTCTTGGGCATTAACGGTATTATTTTGCTTAATGTATTTGTTGGAATAAAATCGACACGGTTAGAAATGGATCTTGAGAGGTTACCGGACGTGATTGTGATATAAAAACTAGTGTAGTTGTTCATATTTGATGAGATGTGTAATAGATTGTATTTATCAGAATTTTTGGAATTTAATTGTTTAAATGTCTATTTAGAAATATCTGTGTTTGGCTATCTGTGGAGGATAATCATGATTGTTGTAGAAATGCATGAGACTTAGGTAAATTGAACCACATTCCTCATTTTGTTGCATTGGACATTGCATTACATTCATTTCATTGGAAATGTATCTATTTTTGAGAAATGTTTGGAAATGTATCTATTTGCGAAAATATAAATACTTAGTGAATCTGGGTAAGGGGTGTAGAACCGCGCGGTTAGGTGTCGAACCTTCCAGTTTACTGGTAAAAATGACAGTGATAGTGCATTAGGGCCTACTTGCAGACACTCACCTAAAGATTCATAGAGCTTGTATTCATGTAACAAATATGGTTTAAAGTGCAAATGGTTTTATATCTGTTGTTGCATCTCAGCATTGCATGCTTTATGAAAAGAGAGATAAATTGTTTTATCATGAGCATAGTCCTCTTTAGTCTTGTCATGGTCCATATATTGTGTAGTATATTTTTACTGGACTGTAACTCACCCTATAAGGGAAACCATTTCAGGTACAGATGTTATACCTCCGCCAAGGCACTAACTTGGGAGGACTCGGAGCTGAGGCTTTATTTTTGTTTTATTATTATTTGTTGAATGTAAGCCCAGGGCTGTATTTACGTTGAGTTGAAACTCCATTTTGTGTAACCAAGAATATTCTTGGATAAATTTGTCAGCTTGTAGGACATTTATTATTTGTTTGGCTTCAATTTCATACTTGTTGTAAAACGTATGTTTGGGATTGGAACTGGGGGCATTGAGATATGAAGAACATGTATTTGTCATTTGGGATTTAATGGAAATGAGTGTATGGAATAGTTAGCTATATATAGAGATATCCGGTGGGTGTATGTGTTTGTCTATCAGGTGGGTTTTGTAGCATGAATAGAGATATCCTGCCCAATTTTCGGGGCGTTACAACTTGAGTGGCCCCCCATAGATGAGCTGTGATAAGCTGCCATGAGTTGCTTATTGAGATCTGGTGAATGCCTCACCACCAGACTTCCTCTATAAGTTAGTGTACCATTTGCCCAAGAAAAACCTTGATTAGAGTTGGGGGCTTGCGCTAACTCTGTTATAAGTTGTTGTAATGCCAAGTTAGTTTGCCAACTGAGTTTCACTGTGGGAAGCCAAGTAAAAGCTATGGTAAACAAGGCATTTACAATGGCATGTTAAAAAAACGAATCTTCAACATAGTTATACTCAAAAAATCTTTCGTATTTGTAAACCCAACTTGACGAATTATCACCAGAGAATTTAGGGAAGTCAATCTTGGCATACGTAGTTCCAAACCTAGGAAAAGATTGAGATTGGGAAGAAGACTCTGCTCTGAATGGATTGGAACTCACCCCTAGATTTTCGTGACCCCCAAGTACAAATTCTCATTGTTTCCTATACACATGAGCCGCCACTTGATCATACTTGAAAGTCGCCGCTGCCATGAATTCCTTGATTTCTACTAGAGTGTTCTTGATTTCCTCCACTTCTTTTGATGAATTGACTTGTTGTTCTTTCAAAATTCAAAGGGAATCTTCGAGTTTCTTGAGATCTTGACTCCTAGTCCCATCTGTTATTGCAAATTGATCGCTTCACAGGCTGAGAAAGGTTAGCTCTGATACCAATGTAATGACTAGAAA